AGTACCTTGCCTCACCGACTAAAATCAGGGCGCCCACTACGGAGACGGCACCAGAGGTGAGGGGGCACAGTGACCGAGGTAGCCGAGCCGGGCCCCCTCAGGCCCCCCCGTGGCGCCAAAGCTGCTAGCAACACTTCAGCATACTTTAATTCACAAATAATTGTATATCAAAAAGGATTTACTGCTGCTACTATTTATAGTTTTTGCTATATATTCTATTCCCTTTTTTGCTATTAGTACTTGTTTGTATTCATGTGTATTCCAATGTTGAGAGCAGTCAGTGAGAAAATATTTTGCTGTAATGTTTAAGTCCTATACTGTGTTCATTAACTAGGATGTTGCTGGAATCAGTACAGCCAGAGACCCCTGGTCTTTCAACACCAGTGCTGTGAGGAAGGATGCTACAGTAGGCCAAGCAGAGACAAGGAGGAGTATGGTAGAGGTAGGTAAAACCTAACAGACAGACAGTGACAGCAAAGAGCAACATACTGTAAAGAATGACAGTAACAGCAGACAAATGGCATAAACAGACAGCACACAGACTCTACAACATCCTCAGATTATTTTTCTTTTGTTTTAACTGTATGTGTAAATTTGTTATAAACGTGTGCTCTTTAAAAAGTAGTAAGCATTGTTTGCCAGACACATACATTAAATGTTTAAATATCTGTTACATATATGGTACTGCTTATATTATTTCACCATCTGTACACAAACGTAAGTAGTGAATGCGTGTGTCCGTGGGTGGGGCTGTGTCGGTGTGGTAATGTGGGCCGATGTGGCTACAGTGCCAGGGCTGAATTTTTGTCCCAGTCCGCCCCTGGACATGAGAGAAGTACAAAGCCTTCTTTACATAATAAGTAGCCTAATAGTTTAGCAACCAAATGTTAGACAGCGCAAAAACAACTGCGGAGCACGCCACGGAGGCAGCCATCAACGTCGGTACCATCGCGAACTCCGCGATATATATGCGATATAATGCATTAAATGTCAAATAAGCAAAGCGTAAACACTTAAAAGCGGGCACGAGCATTTTATTTTTTTTATAAACCACATTTTCACCGCTGTTTACACAAGTAAATGATAACCAGGCTACGTTATCATACTGTAACGGAGCCGACGAGACGAGAGATGTGCGGATCCATCTGCAAAGCTTTTATTTAAAGGCGTGGTCATAAAACAGGCAACCTGGGTGTTAGTTTTTTTCTAGAGTAGGCTATACTCCGTTCGATGGTGCGTTTGATGAATTCACTACACAAAATGTATCTTGCGAAGTGAAATGCATGCAATTACCAACCAAATAATACACACATTCTTTCTATTAGGGTTGCGCTTCACTAAATAAAATTATTTAATTAATACCTGTTTACAAAAAGCACTTATTTGCGCGTACATTGCAAGTTTGAGTTACACGTAATATCTGATGGAGTGCAGAGTCATAATCACTGTATTGGAGAGCAAGCCCGCTGTAAGCCGAGAGATTCGTGCTGGTGCCCTCTCGTATTACACTAATGCACTCTCGACATTTGCCATTAAAATAATGCCAAAAACTGCCTCAAATGAACTATAAATACGAGAATAAAGTTGTAAAAGCTGCAATCCATTTCTTATTGGTTAAAATTAACGAAGACGATCTTGTGTTTTTCACGAGCACCCACGGGATCGGCGCCTATGGCATTTAAAATTAATGTTGTTTGTAATGATCGGCAATATAATAATTTTTTTATATACATATATATTTGTTCTGTTATGAATGCCACAAAATTTAAATGATTTGGAGTGAGGGGAAGTAAAATTCATGTTAGTGTTTATCTTTTTTTTTTTTCCCCTAACATTCGTTTTTTGTTGTTGTTTTTCTTTCCATTAAGGATTTCACCTTTCAGCTCTTGAAAAATAAGCTTCATGATTTTATTATGACCACATGTGCCTCATCCTGGAAAACACTGACTTTTTATTTATGTCTTTTTTTATATGCCTATTCATGTCATAACAGTTTGGTGACATCAACAGCACTTGGTTTTATGATTTTCACATACACTATACTGTAGCTTCCATTCATTACTGTAATCTTACATAAATGAACCAACCGATGAGTGTTTTAAACAGACTTATTTTTGCAATGTTTCTAAATGTATGCTTGGTATGCTTAGATGGCATTTGTTAACGTAATAAAAGGAAAGGCTAATTAGATTGTAAGATTAAGGCTTTCTATGTCTAGTTCAGGGGTTTTCAGACTTTTTGGAGCCAGGGATCCCTTACAGGGGAGAGGATTTTCCAAGGACCCCCTCATAATTATAACAGTGTTTAAGGCTAAAGTTTAATATGGTTAGGAGGAATGAACATAATATGAATGTTTTATTGGTGCAAATGGTCCCCATTGTATATGTACTTATTAATACTATAGCATAATATAATTAAATTTACCATATTTAACAGAAAGTTGCACCAGGTCAGGGGGGAAAAAACAAAACATAAGTTGCATCGTGTGTAATTCGCATTTTACTATTACTTTCAGAAATAATTTAAATACTGAATAGGTCTAAATAAAACATAATGATTTTGTGTGCATATTTTATGTACAAAATTGTGCGTGTGCCAAGCTAGTCTTTGATCATCTGAAGTGATTTTCACATATTGCGTTGCAGTCACTCACTGTGAAGCATCCCAAGATAGTTTCTAGTGTGCCCTGGCATTTCTAAATATCTGAAAGGCGAGGCATATGTGAAATTGAGAATTGAATGTTTATTTAACGTCTCAGCACTCTATATACTGGCAGAATTTTCACAGAGACTGAAAGATATCTCATTAAATCAGTGTATGCCAAGTTGGTCCTTGTGGGTGGGTGCATGTGTGTGT